AATGGTAGTTTTGAAACTACTGCTGCCTGATTGGAAGTTGTACTGGGGTTGGTTGGCATGGTCCGGTTGAAGTTCTTCTTCATATGACGGGAAAGATTGATGATGACCTTCACCTTGCTCTTGGTACTGAAAATAGGAATGAGGATCATGGTAACTTTGGTAGGGTGATCTCCATATAATTCACCTCCACCATGGATACTAGATGTTTGACCGTCTCCAGAATGACCTCCAACGCCTACGACCGGCTCGGTGTAACGAACATCTCGGGTTTGGAAAGATTGTTGGACCTCAAGAATTCGAGCATGACATCTACCTCATCCTGAGTGGTTATGAGATATTGCTTGTGCCACAACGACACACCTTCTCTGTTTGGATATCGGTACACCATACGATCAATTCTTCTCGTGCCATCCATGCAAATAACGTTAGTACACATTTGATAGAGGTCTTCAAGCATCGGTCTGGTAGCGACCTTTATTTTCTGAAAATTGCCACCGACGTAGGTGACCCCCTTTCCGCTCTCTTCCGTGTAACCATTCCACCGTAACCCAAGCGTGAACTTTTGGAATGCCATCTGCAAAAAAACAGTAGTTCAACTAATATCAAAAAATCACAATTCACAATTCACAATAAAAAGTAATACAAATAAACTTACGAGTTAACGTTAACCGCAAAAACACTAGAGAAATAGGGAGCTACAACAGAAAATTGAAAAGGGAGAAGGAGAGGTGTGAAGAGAAGAGATTTCCCGGGCTGTCTTTTATAGGCAAAATCATCAATGAAAACCGCACCTTAGAGGTGCGGTTTTCATCTGCCATGCAGCCCCACGTCTGTCAATCTGCATGGTTGCATGTTTGGTGTTGGAAAATAATTGACATACAAACCGCATGGGGGGGGGGGGGGGCGGGGTGCGGTTTGTGTTGCCAAAGCCGCACTTTGAGGGTGCGGTTTGTTTTGGAGAAGCAAAACCGCATCCCCAAAGTGCGGTTTTCTAGGTCAGGACTAGACCGCATCTGGGCCATGCGGTTTGTTAGGTCAGACACACAAACCGCATGCCAAGATGCGGTTTTGGCCCAGAATACGAAAGGTGCTAGGGTGCGGTTTACATACAAACTGCACCCGGGGTGCGGTTCACAATCAAACCGCACCTCTAAGGTGCGTTTTTAAAAAGGGGTGCTATTTTTGTAATTTCTATGGACTCGATGCTATTTTTTTATTTTTTAAAGGTGATATTTCTGGAAAAATCCCCCCAAAACCATGAGTATCCAATCTAATTTGTAAAGATCCAGATAAACTGTTCATTTTGCAAAAGTTATAGCAGGATCAACTAATAGGCATACAAATTGAAACATTGGTGTCATTAAGAAGTTTAAACATAAATAATATATTCGACGACCCTTTTATCTTATGCAAGTTCATCGACCATATGCTATTGTAATAACAAACTTATGAAAAGAATGATTAAGAATGAAATAAGATTACTTTCATTTTTGGGTAACATTAAAACTATTATAAAATATTTTTTTTTTACATGCGAAGCGATAGCGAGCGGGCTTTTGCTAGTTTTAAAAATAGAGATGCTAGTGTGTGAGAAAGATGTGAAATCAAATTAACGATGAAATTATGTAATCTATCTATCTATCTATCTATCTATCTTCTATCTATCTATACATAATATTATAGCAATTCAAAAGTAGTTTGTTGCCACATAAGCATTTGGAGAATTTACAAGGTGCCATGGTGGACACATTTTTTACAAACAAAAAAATTAGTTAATGATCAATTAATGTAGAGCTATCTATCTTTTTTAATATTTTCTTTTTATTTTAATGATCATTTATGTAGCTATCTCTATCTTCTTTTAATGTTTTCTTTTTTATTCAATAATTGTATTTTTCAATATATATGTGTAGCAGCAGTATACTTATGTTTGGAGAGTGATATATATTGTAATGCTTCAAAAAATAATTTGATTAAATCTGATCAATTAAATTTTCTTTTTCTTTTTATTAGAACTTAATATATGTTATATTTCGATAAAAATAAATTAAACACACATATAAGTAATAAAAATTTTAAAAACAAAATATAATGAAGGAAGTTTAGATAATCAACATTTATAATCAATTGAATTTGAAAAACCAACTATATAATTTTATGTTTTGGTTATAAATTACTATCTTTTTCTAATGTTTGTATCTATCAATGAAAACAAGTATTAAATAGCAAAATGATTCAAAAGTTGTTTTTCATTTTGATAGAAACTTGACGAAGCCATAATATAGTACCTGATTGTACAAATGAAGACGATAAAGAAAGACAACGTTTCTTCTCTCTTATAATGCATGCTTTCATACCTTGTTTTCTCTTATATTTGTTCATACTTCCCCTTATTTTTCTTAACCGTTTACATATTTTGGTAAAACAAAGGTGTTAATTACACTTAAAAATACATTAAACTCTTTATATTTATATATGTATATATCACATACCTTGAGTAAGAAAATGATATCTAGACCTTGAATTGACTGGAGTTGCATATGGTATTATTCTCAAACCCTTAAAGATTAAAATCTAGGTCTTAAATTTATAAATCTCATACATAAGATCGATTTAATTATAAACAAAAATCAATGGTCATGATTCGTTTAAAATCTATGCAACAAATTAAATGCACAATCTTAGGGGTTAAGCTCTATAATTTAGATAACTAAGACCTAGGGTTCACTCATCAAGGATTAGGGTATAGTATCATGCCCAAAAATCCGGTTAATTCGTGGTCCAGATAGCGTTTTCTTAGTTAGAGTATAAGATCATGCTTAGTTATTGACAATAGATGTGGCATTACACCAACAAAATGAAGATATTAGTATAAGTAGTGGATTTTTTTTAGGGTTAATATTTTCGTATGGCCTGAACTTTGACCAAAATAAACATCCTGGCCAATCTTTTCGATCTATAACATCCTGGCCCGAACTATACACCAAATAAACAATTGGCCAAACCCGATGTTTGACCGTTAACTTGGACGGTCAAAAACGTTGACTAACGGTCAACGCGCCACGTCACTGCCAAGTCAGAAGATCTGATAAATATTTAATTGTTTTCGTTTTTTATTTTTGGTTTAACTAAGGTATTAGATGATTTTTTTAATTTTATAATAATTTAAATTAGGGAATGTGTGGAAATTGTGAATTATTTTAAATATTTTATGCTGACTTGGCAGTGACATGGCAAAAGTCGGATATGGCCAAATTGTTTATTTTGGTGTATAGTTCGGGCCAGGATGTTATAGATCGAAAAGATTGGCCAGTATGTTTATTTTAGTCAAAGTTCAGGCCATACGAAAATATTAACCCATTTTTTTATATCTCAATCAAACACCAAAGATAAATAAATTTTAGCAAATGCATATTTGATAAGTTAGAAAATTATACAACAATGGATCATGTTAAGATTAGGACCCTCAACAGTGTGTGAGTATCTTGGACCGAGATTCTAAACAACATCTAAACAACGACCATGAGTTGAGAGTGAGTCTATATTAAACTTCAGGAATTAACAATTGGTACTTATTGTATAAGATATTAAATTGAGTTTCTTGATAGACAAATATGATCTTATACTAAGACAGTAAACTTTCAATTGGGTTGACCAAATTTATGTAATATTGAAGCACCTTTATAAAAAAATTACAACTAAGTTGTCGTCATCTGAGCAACATCATTGGTTGAGAGTTCGTCCATCTCGAGATTAATTGAATGACATATATTGTATAAGACAAAAAATTGAGTATCGTTATTGACAAATCTTAACATAAGATTCTATATGGGACGTGATATATCTTTTGTGACATGATTTATGATCAGTGAATCGAAGCATCATAAGTGAATGTGTTAAGTATTGAGAATTTTTAATTCATAGACGCACCGCATACTCACCAATGAATGCAAATGTAAAAATTTTAGAAGATCCAAAATAATTTAAACATATAAATTAATTGATTAATATAAATGGTAAAATAAATTCACCGGCCAACGGGCCGGGTAAAAAGCTAGTAGGTGCTGAAATTGAATATCAGTTGTAATTAGTTTCTTGTAACAGATACTATGGAGTTTCTTGTAACAGACCTTATGGGTGGGTTACCCGCACCCAACCCACAACCCATCAACTTCGAGTTTTATCTGTGTTTGATCATATTGAGCTGGATCGGTTACCTACCTCCAACCAATCCAACATTAATAGAACGAATGTGACATTGTAGACATAGAGCTACCGCTGAATCCAGTTCATAGCTCCCAGGACCTATAGAGAGTAAAAATTCAAATCAGAACCAATTAAATCGCCGGAAACAGAACCGGCGAAGCCACCCGCCAAAGGAGATCTCAATGCAGAGGAGATAGGAGAATCAAAATCGAGAGCAGGACAACTTTACGAGCTGAGAGAGAACAAGAGCTCCTGGCAGGACGGACATTTACCCTTAAACACATATATTATACAGTAGATTTAGCATGTACATTTACCCTTAAATACATATATTATACAGTGTTTAGTTCCACCCAATAATGACATCACTAGTGGACGTGCCGGAGTGGTTATCGGGCATGACTAGAAATCATGTGGGCTTTGCCCGCGCAGGTTCGAATCCTGCCGTCCACGATTTTACTAAAAGTTTTTCTATATTTTCATGACTAGAAATCATGTGGGCTTTGCCCGCGCAGGTTCGAATCCTGCCGTCCACGATTTTACTAAAAGTTTTTCTATATTTTCTTAACAGGTCTTCATCTCCTAAAATCTCGGTGCTATTACTATAAAGCCCATTTTTAGTATTAAGTATTGCCCACCAATTCATTCTAGAGGGATGATTCTATTTTTACTTCAAGTTCACGAAAATCACAAAATTGCTGTCCACGATTTTGCTTAAAGATTTCTATATTTTCTCAACAGTCCTTCTTCTCCTGAAGTCTCGTTGTTCTTACTATAAAGTCCATCTTTTTAGTATTAAGTATTGCCCACCAATTCATTCTAGAGGGATGATTATATTTTACTTCAAGTTCACGAATGATCACAGAATTGCTGATGTAGAAAAAGGCTTTAAGGAGACCTAGCCTAGCCAGGACGTGAAATACATGTTTTCAAGGTGCAAAACTGCATCACAACTCACACCTATTTGCAGGCTGCTGAATGATGTCGGCACAAACCTGTACATACATCTCTTCATATACATGTCCAATCGGTGATTGCATTGTAGCAATAGGACGTATCTTCATAAACACTTCCTACTTGTGATCAAATTTTAGTTTGAACTAAAAGGATTGCCACAAAACTTAGACTATCAGGTTTTTTAAGCCAGAGACCAACAAGTCCCTAGACATAAAAAAAAGCCTGATATGAACCCATCATTCAGGATCTTGATACACACGGCTGGCTAAAATCATAACCACAAACCCCACGCAGACACAATAAGAAAGTTACAGACCATGAAACTTAAGGCAGCAAGATGTAAGCCACACTGGTCACTACTAGAAAGGGGTGAAATGTAATCGTTTGAATTCTTTCCAGAGGACAAGCATATGAAATGTTTTCACTTCCACCTCTTGAAGTGTTTCCCACCCTTGTGCTTTCCAAACATCCCATGCTTGCCAAACTTCCCGTGCTTGAACTTGCCATGATGGCCATACCCTCCTCCATATCCATGACCGTACCCTCCATATCCATGAGAACTATGAGCAATGTGATGAGCCCCGTATGCAGCAGCTGCAGCCGCCGCACCTCCCGCCAACATTGCCCCCATACCGCCCCCATGCCCTGCCGATCACAATTCACCAGATCATCATCAACATTCAACACAATCATGAACGCAAACTTGGATCAATGTTGGTACATCTGACAAGTCTATTCAAGAATCAAGGGTGTTCCTAAATCAGGGCAATTGAACATACCAGATTGATGGGAAGGACCAGGATAACCACTGGAGGGTAACCGCCATGTCCTCCGTGGGAAGGATAACCACCACGAGCAGGAGGAGGGTATCCGCCGGGGGGAGGATAGCCCGCAGGAGGGTATCCTCCATGGGGAGGGTATCCGCCGTGTGGTGGCTGTGGATACCCATGTGGAGGAGGGTACTGAGGGTACCCCTGTGACGGGTACCCTTGTGGAGGATACCCTCCTCCATGCTGAGGAGGGTAATGTGAGCCAGCTGCAAACGCACCTAGGCTTGAAAACAAGCCCTTATCGTAGAGTCATGCTCATTGCCTTTGCCACCTCCCATTGTGTTGGGATCAACTTCAGTTCAAAAGCTAGAACAGAATACCAAATTCCATAAGATAGGCAAAACCGTTCCAGCCACAGAAAAAACATGTCTGTAGCTCTATGTATGGAACCCAGATGGGTGGAGGAAAAAAAATATTTCCAGAATTCACAATCAGGACTTAGCAGCGTCCATGTATACATATCAATTTCCATGCTCTCAACTCAAGGAATCACAAGATAGCAAGATAGGATCGATCGAACTGTCATTCTTTAAAGGAAGAAGCAAGCCCTGATTGCCACCATAACCCACAAGAAAAAATGAAACATCTCCCCCAATTCGAAGTTTTGGGGTTGTTAAGAGTTTTTAATCGGTCACGCAGATCAAATTCAATGGAACCCAGAAAGATTGATCGGATCAAAAGCATCATCAGGAAATGGGAACATCGCAAAAGCTAAGCATGCCAACAGTCAATAAAACGGAAGGAAGGAAAGAAGAACAAGCAACCACAGAGAAACAGGGTAATTTTGGAAATGGAGGAGTTCGTACCAGAGATTAATTGGATAATTCAGCAGAGCAACCGTCTCCTTTTTTTCTTGTTAGGGCGTAGGTAGATAATCAAAGATTATATAGGAAGGCTACGAATTTGAGGGAGACGCGTTAAAAACGGAACAAGCGTGTTGTGATCAGCCCCCCGTCTCTTCTTTCTTTCTTATTCCCTCTTCTGCTGCTTCTACTGCGTGTATCCTTATTCCTTAATTCCTTACCCATTACGATTCGCGCGCGGTTGCGTGATGTCATCGTCGGTCCCGTCTATTTTGGTTTTCATTTTGCCCACTTATCTTTTTAGATTTTTGCCCAATTATTGAAAAAAAAATATCTATTTAGATTTTCCCTTTTTTTTATTTGGAACCATGAAAATTAAATACTTGATAAAATAATAAAAGAGAATAAAAGAGTAATTTTTTTATGTTATTTCGGGTTGAAAGTTGGGATTGTTTTTTTTTTTGCATTCATTATTTATGTGATGTGATATAAACTATCACCCAAAATGAGTGAGTCTTATCTAAATTTTTAGTTGATGGGTCATATACAATCATTCATATCAAATGCGTTATTTTACAAAGCAACAAAATTATCAATACATGCATAAATCGTACATGTATTCACCACAATACATAGCTCATCTCACCGGTGATACACTCATCCCAACTCCCAAACGACCTCTTCATTTGTTTCCTTTTCTTAGTAACTAGAAATTATACCGATCCCTTCGGGGTCATCCGATAAAATTGGAAGTTGGAACGATACATAAAAGATTAGCATGACTCATGTACAAGGATGATACACATAAATCAGAAATATACTGAAAAAGTAAATAATAGAATATTTTGTATGTTTATTCATTTTATATAAGCTTTGACCTTAATAGTCAAATTTTGGGATTATATTCGTACGGTAGGTTTGTGCAACACGAATAATAACATTTTGTTGGCATTAAAAAGTAAAATGAAATTTCAGCGGTAATGGGCTGGTTTGGGCTTTCAATGGACTTAACTGTGGGGCATTGGGAAAAAAATAAAGTTACCACAAAGTCTTTTCACTCTCGGCTTTGGTCTTGGTTAGAGTGCGCAACTAGTTGGTCCGCACCGGATTGAAATGGACCAAATTGGCGCTTAGACGAATTATACCGAACTGAGTATAACGTGATTCAGTTTTTGATTTCATGAATTTTTTAAATACTAAATGAAAATGAATTGAAATTGACATTTTGACCGGACCAAAGGGGGTTGAATGCAATGTTGGTCCAATCCTTGGTCCTAAAATGTCTTTCGCTATTGGATTGCGTTTCTCATTTTTTTTTTAATATGGGGAACGGACCAAAGCGGACTGAATGCAATGTTGGTCTAATCCTTGGTTCTAAAATGTCTTTCTCTATTGAATTGCGTTTCTCATTATTTTTTCCGATCTGTACGACTGTACCAGACCGGACTGTTGCACACTGACACGCCAAAACACAACACCAAACTGCGACCAAGTGACATCGCAGTCCGGGAATGCAGTTACAGGCAAGTTATATGATCAACCCGGGATCTAGATCTACTGCCACCCCTCGTTATAGGTGTTGCTGTAGGGGTCAAAGCGCCTGGCATTCCCGATGAAATCCACCTGCTCCTGGGGAGTAGACGACTCCCTCATCGCGTGACAGTCCTCCACGGTGTGATGAGAGCTCTCACACCACTGGCAGTGCATCGCCTGCGGCTGTCCTGTATCTGCAATCAAACCAGAACGATCGATAGCTGAAACCAGCTTCGATACCACCTGCCCCAAATCAGATGACTGGGTGCCCACAGCATGCACACCCCGTCCTGGTGCTCGTCTCGATCTCCTGGCAGTGCCCCAGTCGTACCCGTTCTCCGCCATCTCATCAAAGAGTTGATTCAAACTGTGGCGGGGTTTTTGTCAGCATGTTCCCGCCACAAACCGAATCAATTAGCTGCTTGTCCTCCGGAAGAGGGCGTGATAAAAGGTGCCCACCTTGAATGCATCATTGAAACCATGATTGGGACACCTGAGAAAGAGACTGGTGTACCTCTCCCCAGCATCCCTGATGGTCTCCTCTCATCCTAAGCAAAATGTGTAATTTGCTTCTGCAGGTCAGCTGTCTTGGATGGAGGATGGTAGCGGGTGAGGAACTTGTCTGCCAGGTTGGCGAACGTGGTGATGGAGCTCGAGGTCGAGTGTCTAGCCACTCCTTGGCCTGCCCCTCCAGAGTGAATGGGAAGTACCTCGGCTGGATGGCATCTGCTGGTACCCCCATTGATCTTGATTCCATCGATTAGCTCGTGGAATCGCCTGAGATGTGATCGGGGGCACTCTCCCTCCTTACCACGAAACACTATTGAACCGCGCAGTATGGTGATTACTGAGGTGCTCACCTCAAAATTGTTGGCTGGGACATGAGGGTGTTGAATGGGGACCTCATATCCGCAGCTCTAGCGGTCCAGTAGGATCCCATGGTCTGCTCCTCTGGGTTGATCACGTCATGGTTCTGTGGATCAGCCATCTCTTCTTCTTCTTCTTCTTCTTCTTCTTCTTCTTTTCTTCTTCTTCTTCTTCTTCTTCTTCTTCTAACTGCAGCTGTGATAGCTCCTCCTCCGCAGCCAGTCGCGCCTTTAGAGCCCGCTTGAAGTTCCTGCACGTTCGTTCAACCTCCTGGTCTAATGGTAGTAGTTCTCCCGACTGGCTACGGTCATGCACTACCTGCACACAATCAGCAGAAGCAACCCGTGAAGGCACACAGGTGGAAGAGAAAATGCAATAAAGAAAAGCTAGAGTAACAAATTCTCACGTTTCTCCCAATATCTAGAGGGGTCCCCGGCAACGGCGCCAAAAACTTGACACGCCAAAACACAACACCAAACTGCGACCAAGTGACATCGCAGTCTGGGAATGCAGTAACAGGCAAGTATTATCAACCCGGGGTCTAGATCTACTGCTTACTCCGTGATTCTCTATTATCTAGCAAACTAATTCGAGTGATTGTTGTTTAAAACCAAGCAGTAAGAAAGCAGTAAACTGTTCGGTTTTCTAAAGCAGGTAAGAGTCACTCGGGATTGAGTCCCCCTAGCCCCTTAGTTAGGTTCAATGTAATTCTCTGGGTTGATTTACTGTTGATTAGACTGCGGAAGATCCGACAATAGCTTGGAGGGGCAAGACGCCCAAGAAGCATAAGAACCATGGATATGCAGAGAGGAAGAGCGAGTTATGTGCAGACCTCGATCAACGGTGCCACAAAGGTAGCGTAGGATGCGCTTGACAGCACCCCAATGAGCTTCCGAGGGAGAGTGCTGGTATTGGGACACATGGTTCACTGCGAAGGAGATATCAGGTCGAGTAAACCTCAAGTACTGAAGACCACCAACAAGGCTTCGATAAAGCGCAGGATCGGCAAATGGCGGGGAAGCATCTAGAGCAATGTGCTGAATGATGTCGATGGTGGAAGGCGTGGAGTTTGGATTGGCGGCTGCCATCTTCGCGCGATCGGCAGTTCGTTGATAAATTTACGCTGACTGAGAAGTATACCAGAAGCAGAGCGATGAACTTCTATGCCAAGAAATAAGAGAGTGAGCCAAGATCCCGAAGAGCAAATTTGTCGTTGAGATAATCCATCAGTTGCTTTAGTAATGAGAGGAATTGCCGGTGAGCACAATATCATCGACATAGACGAGCATGTAGAGGCGGACAGAACCAGACTTATATATGAAGAGGGATGGATCAGTTCGAGAAACAGAAAACCCAAACTGAACCAAGGCCGCGGCCAAACAACCAAACCAAGTGCGTGGAGCTTGGCGAAGGCCGTTAATACTCTTCCGAAGACAGCAAACATGATCCGGTTTGTCGGGATTGACAAAACCCACGGTTGGCGCATATAAACTGTTTCCTGTAACTCACCATGGAGAAAAGCGTTAGCAATATCAAGCTGATGCAGTGGCCAGCTTTGAGTGACGGCAAGCCCAAGAACAAGGCGGAGCGTCGCAGGGCGAAGAACTGGGCTGTAGGTCTCGTGAAATCAACACCCGAATTTGCTGAATCCACGAGCAACCAAACGGGCTTTGTCGCGTTCAATGCTCCCATTGGCGTGATATTTGGTGCGAAAGACCCATTTGTTGGTGAGGAGATTGCAATCCGCCGGTGGGGGAACTAAGTCCCAAGTATGATTCCAAATCAAGCAGTGAATTCGTCGGTCATGGCGGCACGCCAGCGAGGAAGCTTGAGGGCCTGAGCAGCCGAGGTTGGTGTGTCATTCAATGGAGGGTGAGCAAGGAAGGTTTTAGGCTTAAGGTGACCTTTTTTAATTCGGGTGACCATGGATGGTTGGAGGCAGTGGGATTGGTGATCAGGTAAGGTTGGGGAGACGTGTTGAAGCGAGGTCGGGGGGGGGGGGGGAAGGGGTTT